TTGTATACCATTATGATGTGCACAAAAGCATGTAAAGTGGCTTACTTGGCAAGGAATAATAATCTGTACGATCCGTTTGCTGATTGTAATGATAAGGGTTTCCCTCTTAATTAGCTGAATTCAAAGGCGCATTTTTTAGTACTGGACCTAAGCAGACCAAGTTCTCCTTTCACTACTCACAATTCAGTCAATAACATACAGTACATTTCTGTACGATATAAAAGTGCAACAAATTTTAGTCGGTTTATTTGGGTACATACATTCGCCACTGTTTTTACACAAACAGTCGCATTCTTCTGACGTTAGCAAGTATAGTTTTGGACTGCTGCCTTGCCCAATAGCTCACAGAATGGCACTGGTTGTGCTGATAACTCCGCGTGGCTCTAGAAATGCCCACATGCTGCCAGTGGTTTAAGATAGATGGATTTGTGGGATATTAGTGATTATTTATGAAAATGGACTGGCGTCGCAGTGTGTCAAATCCCCATCGTCCACCCACATTACCTCAAGAGTCAATCGTATAGATTAACTTCACTTGCTGCATTAAATTTGATGTAGTTATGGTGTCGGCGCAAATCAGTACGGTCATTTCACAAAATTGCGCTCTCACGTGATGCATTTTTCGCTTGATGCGATGGTCATTCTTTACCAGCGGTTATATCCAGACCCTGAGAAACAATGGACTGGTTAATATCCCGAGCTCAACTTGAAGCAATGTGAAGCACAACCTCCATTCTAGTGTCAAGTTCCGGCAAATTGCACAGAAGTCGCAGAATCGTACGGAACGTATTTTACTTTGCAAAATACTGGAACTTAGTATTTGAGGACTTTCGACATGTACTATGAGCTTGAATGGTGGCTTAGCATGTATTTTTAGTTTGATCATTTACTAAGCCCGCCTCATGTGGCGCTCTGTCCACTCCCCGATTACTTTCTCCTCAGAACAGTGCCCACACCTGTTGAAAATCCCAGTAAATAATTAGCCACACAGAAATACCCGAAGGATATGTCTGAACTGCAGCCTAACCTGAAGCGTAGGGTGCTTGTTTAAAAACCCTCACTGACATTAATTGTATTATCTGGTAATATCCGTAAGTAACAAAACCACACTTCTGGGGCAAACATTTTTGAAATGACAGTTTAATTGCATACCGCAGCTTACCAATGAAAAAAAAATTTTCTGCAGCCGCATTTCCGAATCTTTCTTCTGACAGTGTTGTGGCAGCTGGATTGGATTTGCTCGCTTATATTAGCCAGGTGTTTACAGGGATACTCAAGAAAACATTAAATAACACGCCACCCTTTATCACAACGGAATCGTAACGCAATCCACCAGTGTACGGACTTCCACTAGCTGCAGCCGGTCAGTCCTTCCATTTGGGGATGAATCATGGGACCGACCTACATGGTGCAGTTTACCGTTTCATGCATATGACTAGAACAAAAAGCCTGGCATCGTGTTGCAAAAAACAACTTAGAATATAACTGTCATCGGACAGAATTACCCACGAAAATAAGCAATCGGATAAAAAACCCACTGTAAACTGGGAGACGAATATCCCTTCAAAAATTGATAAGCATCCAATGTAGGCTAAGTTCTCAGGAACTAAAGCGGGTCAGACTCAACTGGAACGGATTGAGTATCATATGGTAAACACTCTGCGGTTGGTCTGGTAGCATAATCTGACGACATCATCTGTGACTAGATTTTTTGATATCTCAGTTAGTACTCGAAAATCTTACCAGGAAAGTTCTATAGTCAAAGGGCAAGGTAAGCATATGAAACAACTACCTTAGTACCGCTGCTCTGTTTGTTGAGGATGGCGTCAATGAAATAGTCATTGTATACCGATGTGTGATAATGCAATGGTGAAATCAAACTGGGCGAGGTGTACAATCGAAGGCTGAGAAACATTCGATCAGCCACTGTTCTGATCCCCATTCTGCAACGGCTATTGCGTTAATTGAAGTGCGTGGTGAGCACATCCCAGAGAGACAGAGGATAACCCATCACTGACGCTAGCGCATGTTGCGTGTGGGTTATTCTGTATGGTAACTGTGCGAAAAAGCTTCGTGTATTGTTTGAAACCCGATTAAGTTTCACCCGTTTGTAGTTTAACTCCATAGTAGTTGCGATGCGATAGTTCAGCCACAAATGGACTTTTAACAGTTTGTTGTGTTACTTGGCAGAACTCAAGCGGAACCTCTGAGTTCTGTTATAAATTTGTGGAATTGTCTACTTGTCTCCTCAGTATGCCACCGCCCCGCTCAAGTCAGGAACAATTTGCTGCACCCAACTTGTTAACCAGCTGAGACAAGGTTATTTGAATAGGGTCCTTGGGCTGCAGACAGGGAAGAAAGGATGATCGGTTGTGATCTATCTTGGACTTATGTATGTATTTATGTGAAATTACTGACTGTTCGGCAACGATGGTCCATGTGTGTGAACAATGCACCTTTGATGACATAGAATTTGGTCCTGAAATCCGACGGTAATCATATCAGCTCATCGCCACTAGGTCCTCGTGGACATTTACGGCGATGTCACTGCCGTAAGACTTCGGGTCGAACCAAACAAAAAATGGCAGTATAAACGTGTTCTTCCTGTATAGTTCCTACCTTCTCAGCGGGCATTAATTTGAAATCCACGAACTTTAACTGTATCTTCACTACGAGTTTTCACACCTTATCTTGGTGGAGTGCGCAACCTTTAGTCGGCAGTTTCAAAGAGCTCTGCAGTGAAGAATAGACACGAAAATAGATGGTAATAATAGTAAACACAAACACTTAAAACAAACACAGAAGACCATTTAGCAGACAGCAACTGTTGGGCGCAATGTGGCAAGCGCCCAAAATACTGAATGCAGGTAATGTAGTTTCGGTTGGTATAGCATAAAGAGTAGATGAGTCTTATGATATTCGGGGAAAAATTACAATTAAATCTTCGCTTTGGTGACATCATGCAACAGCATCAGGTACTATTCAACCGGCATTAGGAATTGTACAATACGTCTACTGAAGTCGCCGTGCAGGATAGCCGGTCTGGTACACTCAAGTCTTCTAATCGAACCACCCGTTGAGTAGATGATATCAATTACACGTCTATTAAACTGACCAGGAAGGAGATATTCGGTTGAATTTTGTGCCAAATTTACGAATGAACTCCCATCGTATTCATATTGAACCACTGTAAATTGGGTTTTAGCACCATATTTGAGTTCATACAAGTGTTGACATTTATCTTTGCTCTGTGTACTACCTTTTAGCAAGCGAATATCGATTTCAAGAACACAAATCACAAACAGCAGCTGAGTTCGCGCAGCTCGTCGAGAACTCAAAAATAGGAGGGCAGTTTACACAAGTGTAATTTTCGTGGACTCATATACGTAATGTTACTAATCAGTCAATCTGAAAACTTGCAATCATTCGGATGTTTCAAGGAATTTCAACTGCACAGTAGAACGCTAATACTTTTGTTTAATTTCTTGTTGTGCATTTGCGAGCACTTTTCCTCGTTAGACTTTAAGTGATGCTGAAAAGTTTATATGTTCTCCTAAACTGTTTTTCATGCCTGAATTCATTCGACTCCGAACGAACAGAAAATGACACGTTTTTCCTTCCGAATGAAAAATGGATATGACAAATTTAGATCTGGTACACAGAGGGTGTTCACTAAATTTTTTTCACAAGCCAAGAATGTCAAACTGAGCATGCGAATAATAGTAGGAAACTCCACGCCGATAGAAACCTGGTTGTCTATGCTGAAACCTTGTTATTAAAAGTGGGGTCACTTTCAACTAAATGGAAACCCACGGGAGAACAGCCCAAACAAATTGAAAGAATAGACGAAAAATATTTTACAGCAGAGTGAAGTAATTGCTTTCAGCTTGCACAAAACATCAAAACGTTGACCAAAGTATCGGTGTCCTAAATGAGCTTTCTGCGGTTTGACACACGTCACTCGTTTTACTGCTTTTCCTAGAAACATACTGTTAGGCTCTCCTCCGTTAATTCATGTTTTCTTGCCCTCAAGTTTGCTTCCTTCGTGTGTTATGTCCAATTCCCTCCTATTTTTTGTTTTCAACTGGGACATGGGCTAAAACCATGTGTTACACCGGACGAATTTGTCCCAACAATGTTTTTCAACATCATAACGCAAACTGAGGGAGATTTTTAGATCATCATAATGGCAAACAGTTCACAATTTGTCCGTCTTTCGTGACCGTATCTCCAATAGAACCTACACTCGGATCATTCAGGGTCTCGAAAACGCGAAGGATGATCTTTTGAACAGCACTTGAAATCTTCGTTTTTCATTTTATGTTGGCTGGTTTGTGCATGGTCCATTCCCACGGATGGGGCAGAATTGCTTGCCTGCTTCATGCATATTGACCTGGTGTTGAGTTGTCTGGAATATAAATAGGCTTATTACTGCGAATATGTTCCAAGAAGTGAAAATGTACATATTTAGTACCATGGGGCGGAACTTTATTCGGCTTAAGATGTACCCTGATTTGACAGCTGAGAAAATGAATGCTGATTAGCAGAAAACATTGTCCGTGGAGCAAGTAGCCAGTGAACAAGACTTTCGCGTACCTGGCTAAAATGACACTCCATTAGTTTTCCATTTATTTTTTTCATTAAAAAAGCAGGTTTGTCTCAATCCATTGAACTAGCATAAACATATGGTAACCGAAACGGTTAACTATTGGTTTTCAAGATTCAAATTCCATCTGTTTACCAGGATGGTGAATATATAGCTTGGCGGATAAGCCCGGAATGAGGTAGATGCACTGGAATGAGTTTAAATCAGTCGCAAACAACCGATATAGAAAACTAAAATACTAATCGATAGAGTACAAAGCTGGCTTCGGAAAGCTAAATTTTTGTGGGTTGAAATGGGTATGGTGGAGTTCTGTCGTGTGTTGCAGTCCAACTGGAACATCAGGAAAGACACCCAATTTTCCGAACTATTCTCTCCTTGTTTCACTTTAGTGTAGATCCTCAATCTCTCGCGAATTAGAGAGGACCAACACAAAAGGCGGAGCTCCAAACTGAGTCGGAAATCACCCGGACGTAAACTAGGTTCTGACCACAACTTGCGTCGTGAAAGTCCTGATAGAGCAACCACAATGGTAAACAAACGTAAGTTTTAATTCTTACCCAAAATGGCAGCTTAAAAGGGTCTTGAATAAAGCGAGTGGGAAGTAGCTGAACTTCCAACAGAATCTCCTGGTGTAAGTTGAAGCAGGCTTCAATGTAATTTATGGCCATAAATATCGCAGTGATGACCTCCAATATGCTACTGCCTATCTCATCAGCCTGAACAACAACAACAGTCTCTCTGGCAGCGCGGCAAGCACACCACGGAAACGGCAAATCCAGTTGCAGAAACAATAGTATTACAAAACATAAGGTTACGGATGTTATTCTGAAACTTTGCTAACACAAGTTGCTATCGGTCGGGTGAGAGTGGATTTAATATTATGTATTATCAAGAATAATTCGATGTGATTATCAGAAACTACCTGGGAAAGTCAATCTCACCGACAGCGTGAAATGTAAGGTCACTGAGGAGCTCATTTCTGAGTGAAGAAATATCACACTTATTGGCGCATTCAGTGTCAGGGATCCGTGCGCCTACCACCCGTAACATATGATCAGTGCATCATCAACATATTTACGTCTGGTGAACAGAATTTTGGCATATACACAAGAATGACCTGGGAAAAAAGGAAATTACAGAAAACAATCCCTTTGAAAACATGAGCCACTAGCCGGCAGTTTTGAATCAAATGGCCGACTGAGATATTGAATTGTGTAGGATCAGTAAAATTGGTTTCATTACTACTTTTAGAAAAAGATCCCCAATGGTTCTTTTATAAATACTACCAAAAACAGGGAAGAGAAACTATCATTTTGTTAAGTACATCGTGTTCAGTCGGTTCTATAAAGTACGGTTTGATCTCTAACGCTTAGTGCGACTTTCGAATGAGAGCCTTTACACAGCGGTCTCATGGCCACCTCTCGTGAGATCTGCATCATTTTTTAGAATCGTTTTTAAGCGCCCTAATAGTAAGCTTATTAAGGAGATTCTCGTATTTCGGACAGGCGTTTTTCACAGACACAGTCCATGCACTACAGATTACTACACACAGAGCAAGTGCCAATGCTAATGAATATGACTAGACTGTTATCCATATGCGCTGGACTCACCCCGCACTTAAACAAATACAGAAGTCTGATTTGGAACTGAGATGGCGACAGTCATCTGTACATTCTATCTCGCTCAGAGCCTGTGACATATCCCGAGGACCCTGTCTCAAACACGTGCACACTTCTCACAATCCTATGCCAATACAATCCAGTATGAACTTATGGTGACTGAATCAAGCGAATATTTTGTTCGAATTCAGCAAGGTTGGTTACGGCAGACAAAACATCAAGTTTAACCTTCCATCTTCTATTGTTTTGTTCTAAAATCATATTAAACAGAAAAAAACGTCTGTCTACGTCTTTTACCGAGAAGGAAAAGCCACTTCAAATAGTGCTCAAAAGGTGTGCACCTCTCGTGCTTCATCAGTTACTTAGAAACCAAGATGGAATGTCTCATTCGTTGCTAAGCGAAGTTTTTTTACTGGTTAATAACTTTTCGCATACACAATTTAGTACATTTATGGAATAATGCAATGCATTCAAAACGCAACCATATATTCCAGTACCATTTTGCGAGTACGTTCCTGGGATGTGTTGTATCCACAATCGAAGTCGTTACATGGACCACACCCATCCCGTTTACGCAACGCATAATATGGTATGCTGCTGATAGTTTACAGTACATGGTTATTTATCAGGAAACTCCTTATGAGAGATGATAATTTTGCCTTACGTATTTTTTGTTTAGCGTATGAGACGAAATAAATTGGACTGCAAACTGAACAAATGTGTACTTATTGATCAAACGGAATGAATTACCACCCATCACGTTTAGGATGAAGGGATAAATTACATCACCGATAGGCAAAAAAGCTAACCATCTCGATAAGAAGGAATCCCATATGACTTCTTACAGAAATAAAGCCGATACCCGGACACAAAATCCTCTGGTTCCAGTTGCTATCTCAAAATCAAACAAAATGAAATATTCCCGGCGGCTACCGAATTATCCCTGTTAGTTTTGCACCAAATGTGCTCATTAGAGACGCTAATCGACAACCACCTATTTTGCCTTCTCCTCTACCATGTATTTTGTATTTAACGAAGTTTTCTTTGCAAATAATAGATTGAACATTTCGTAAAACTTACAGTGTTTCTTCCGGAACACTCAGCATCAAATAAGCTGACTTGCTTATCAAACCCACTTTGATTTATTGAGTGCTCTGAACGAAGGATTCTGTCTCATTATGTAGACGACACTTTACAAATGCCAGAGTGGATCTGCACCAATACAGCCTTTGGCAAGCTTACCCCCGGGTACAGCACATTACTGGCAGTGTGATTGTCATAACTTGGTACTGAGTGGTCTAGATAGTGTACTCTCAAATGTCCCAACCTAAACGATCGGTTTGATCGGACTGCTGCAGGTCGAACAAGACCAGCAGATTACCGCAGACTCAGTTGCCTCAAAATGTCCGACCCACCTTGGCCGTGCAACGAAGAAATCGATTGCAAATTTACGGTGAACTTCTAAACACAATTCGTTTCCTAATAGCTAACTGCGGCACCGAAGGGGATTCGGACGTCTGTCGCATGTTCGATAAGAGAGTCGTGCTTACATGCAAAACTCTACCCACTGGAATGAAAAATGCTTGAGTTTTGCTGCCGTTTAATAGTGCAAAGGTTTGCTTTGTCTACTTCGGATCTTCTCACAAATCAGTGTTGCACTCTGAATGAACGACTGACAGAAAAAATGATGTGGAACAGGGAAAATATTACATGCATGCCGGTCGACATTTGAACATTATATTTTTACCACACATACATTTACATGCTTTGATCTACTTTGTGCATTCATGGCTTTTTATACATGCGGCTCTCTGTCCACTGGAGCAGTACTAGAATTAGTTGTAATCAACTAATAATGAAAAAGGCGTAAGTGACACTATCCGGGGGCTTATCGGAATGGAACTGCTTGCTGCATTTGACCGGCTTGCGGCCGTTCTTTGTGGATCACTTCTGTATTGGTTGGCACCATCAGTCACCCTGCTGTTTAGGTACAAAAACAAAGCAGCAAAACCCTTGGTTGCAAAATATACTGAGACCATGCGCTCAAACCATTTGGTTCAACATTAAAATGACTTCTCAGATTATGAAATTTATTCTTTAAAGCCACTCAAAGCTAGTGGAACTCCGTAGCGAGGCAGGGCGAGGAAATGGGCTTAGGACCTAACAGACAACTTTGTGCCATTTGCCCCATGTTTTATACGCTCAGATCTCATAAAATGTGGTTATCACGCCAGATGATTAACTCATTTAAGCCAGGAAATCTGCAGCTGGGAACAAAGACTGAGCGACTTCCGTTGACGTTCATCTTTCACGAATATTTAAATTTTAAAAGCCACCGTATAATAAGACACTCCAGTCCTACGGTTCTTCGCTATCTTCTCGTACTAGCTACCTAATGCGAGCTACCGGAAGAAGATCCGGCTTGCTCAGACACAACTGGCTAAGCAGACATCTGATAGTGCGACGGAAGTACAGGATAATGGGTATCTCATGTCTAGTGGTTTTGTTTCGACTACTGTTAGCCTCATCCGTTTTTTCATCAGCGTAGGAATCGGCAAGAGAATGGCGCTATCACAACATGTGATCAGTTGATTTTTTGGTTAGTGTTGTTCATCGCGTGTGTCGAATTAGGTTTATATCGCCAGTCACTATATGGATAAAGGTTATCAATCTTAGTCTATACAGAGTATGACAATACATCGCACAGACACTTTAAGTAAGTTCTTCACTTAGTGATTGGTCGAGGAAACTGGTTCGGAAATCCAATAATTCCCAATTGGATGCATAAATGCAGATCAATTTTATTTTGCCGTCAAAAAAAGTAGCATAATGTCAGTTCATGTTACTATCACTGGTTATTCAGTATCCAGGAATTTAAAATTATTTCCGTTCAAAATATACTACTAGCAAACCACTAGAAGCTACCGTTTCCCCGAAATCCCTGGAGATGCTGAAAACGACAGATATGAGTGCACTTAACACAGTCTAATGGAGGAAAGCAGGATATTAATAGCCAAATTTACCACTTGAGTTGTTTCAGACATTTTAGTGGGGATTAAAAGTTGTGCAGAACGGATATCCATTTCATCCTCTGTTAATAAGAGGATAAGAAATATGAACGCATTAAAGCTGCCAAAACCTCATAGGCTAAATTGCTTGATTGATCTTGCGTGTTTATGCAAAATATTCTTTCCCAACAGTAACTTGTTTTTCATACTACTGAATTACTTTGTCAATCCATCGATAGCTTAGCTGTCACAGGCGATTTCTAAACATACAGTTCTTTCACCAGCGGCCTTTTTATCTTCCGATAAATTTAATTTAGTTATCCAAACGAATGTTATTCAAAAGTCACAGAAAGATTTTTCAGGTTCTGACTTTTTCTGAACAACAGCGAAATCAACGATCGTTCCTTGGCCCCTCAGTGAATGTGCGGAAATTAATGCCAAGTGGACAACTGAAAGTCCGGATAAAACGACTAAGATCCGTTCACTCGATCTGTCCAACACGAGTTGGCAGCATCAGACGTGAAGACTAATTTAGTGAATGACTTATTCTGAGAACGGAATTAACCTCAATCACACCGTGACTGCGTCACATTCTCTTTCTGTGAAAGTGAGATGCTGTCAAATGTGTGTGAACGTCGTACACGGACTTCCCAAACAACTCGACCATCGGGCCACAATTTGTTGGGAAAATGGTCTATTTATTGCCCACCTAAGTGACTAACTTGATTAAAATTTCTAGAGAAAAAATCTAGTACGGTCTAGCTGCATTTGAAAGATATATGATTGCAAAAAATGGTGGATTCACACAATTCTTGAAGTTTGGGTCGTAACCAGCCATGATTAGTGTGGGGCGCATGGCACAGTTTTAGGAGAACAAAACCTATATTAGAAAAATAACTTAATGTATGGTAA